CCCCCGCTCGCCCCCCAGAGGCATTCGCGGAGGACGCTGCACTCGGCTCTCAGGCTCCGCAGGCCCCCGCCCCGGGCCAGCCGATTATTTCGCAGTCGCGGGAGGCGGCATTTCGGAAGCTGTCTCTGGCCACGCCCCCGACTCTTCCTCCACAGGCCGATTCCCGGGCCCCGCCTCGAACACGTGGCCGCCCGTCGTCCCACCCCTCACTCAGGGCCTTCACTCGGGTATTTGTACACTTTTTCCGGCTCTCCTCTGCTGAGGTCTGCGCAGGTCCGCCGAGAGCGCCAAGAGCGCGGGGCTGGTGGGCGTGGTCATGTAAACGAAGTGCGTGTGGGCTGCTGGGTCCAGCTAACCCGCCTTCCCAGACCGGGAATGGCCAGAGTGATGCAAATAGAGCCGTGTGCTGAGCTTTTGATGCCAAACGTTCAGTAGCAGCATAAAACTCCCACATGCCAAAGAACAACACACTAACGCGACATTCAGCACGTCCTCAGGATTGCGCAACCACCACCACCCTCGCTCCAGAACATTCGTGCCAAATGCAAGCCTGGTCCCCATCTGCAGTTTTTCCTGATCCCTCCAAGCCACCTGGCATCTCTGATCTGCGTGTCCCTGTGTGCATTTCATAGTGCGGTCACACATCCTGAGGCCTCTGAGGTCTGACTGCTATTTTGTTTTCAAGAGTCATCAATCTAAGATCAACCAGAGCTTTGTTCCTTTTTGAGGACTACACAATATTCTGGTGCTTTTCCATCAGGTGATTGTCGTCGTCCATCGTCGCTCCTCACTACTCACCTGCAGTTTTTAACAGACTGTGAATTACTGGGATGTGTTCAAATTACTGGGATGTTGACTTTTTTTTGTTTTGTTTTTCGAGACAGGGTTTCTCTGTGTAGCTTTGGAGGCTGTCCTGGCACTCGGTCTGGAGACCAGGCTGGTCTCAAACTCACAGAGATCCACTTGCCTCTGCCTCCCGAGTGCTGGGATCAAAGGCGTACGCCACCAACGCCGGGCGAGACAGGTTCTTATGCTTCTGAACTGTTGGGATTAGATTATTGTGCCACCACACCCAGCATTAAGAGTGTTTTGTTTTCTCTGAGTTCCAGACCAGCCTGGTCTACAACAGCTAG